AAATTTTTCAACGAGGATATGAATTATTAAGGTAATATTGAAAAATATGATTAATTCAAACGTGAAAGCATTTCCTATTGATAGTAAGTTATTGTTATTAGATAGATAAGTCGACCGGCTGAACCGTAGCTACTATCACTAGTTTTTCAGAAAGGTTTTCAGCTGCCAATCAGAGATATGCAGAGTAATGTAAAAGTTAGGAAATTGTTCTCAGTCACGGTACAACATACGAAAAAAAAAAAACTTACCCTACATATCACTATCGCCAACACTCATGTTTCAGTTGCTGGGATATAAAAATATATACTAGGTTTTTGAAACCTTTAGACATCGAGGATTAGTCTTTCGCGATGTTTTTATCTAGCTTATTATCATGACATTCTCTACCATCCTTTTCTTCCTTTTTGATTTCAAAATTTCACAGAGCTAAGAAGAATTTTCAAAGAGATATTCTCCCATACACATCAATGATTGCACCCTCTTTATCAATAAATATTCTTGTTTGTCATATTTTTCATTTCTAACCTTTTTTCATTTTGACTAGTTACTGCTGATTGTTCATTAAATCCATAAATAACAATTATTTTCTTTGTTAATATTAAATCAAACATATTTCCAGCTGCAACTTGTGGAAAAGTAGGAACTTTCTCTTTAAGAATAAATTCTTCTAAACTATTTTTATAATCATCTGGTTTATATAAATAAAACTCTTCATTTTTAATAGCAAATACTTGTGATTCATCATCGAATTTATATTTTGAAAAATATGTTTCTTGAATAATTGATATATTGGTAGCATAGAAATAAGCTTGACTTATATATTGATTAATAATATCATTATATTCTTTTATTAATTGATCATCTTCAGTTATTGTTGTTGTTGTTGTAACAAGTAAAAAGAAAACTTCATGTTCATTACGTATTTCATTAAATTTATCTATTGATGTTATCCATCGTAGTGGTGGTCCATTAACTCGTTTTAAAAAGTTTAAAACAGCTAATTTTGATCGTTCATTTTCATATGGAATTATTTGTGAACCACGAATAAATTTTATTGTTGGATAACCACGTATATCATAATAATTAGCAACATCAGAATAAACAGTTGCATCAAGACGTACAATACGAATATTTTTCAATTCATCAACTGTTGTTGATAGATCATTGACTTCTTTAGCTATTTGTTCATAAGCAGGTTCAAAGTGTTTACAATGTCCACACCTAAATAAAAATTACAAATAGTATATTTTTATTATTTTCATGAATTAGAATCAAATGAAAAGTTATGTTGTTTTTGCTATGATTGAACAAATAAAAATTGTTTTATTGGAATAAAATTCTGTTAAGAAAAACAAACCATGGTGCATGAAATTTTATTAAATAACCAATCGATGGATTTTTTTGAATTTCGTCGATAATTGAAGAATCAACATCAATTACCCATTTTGCATTAATACCAATTACATATTGCACGATCAATATTGTATAACATATAAAAAGCATTTTTTATATGAAATCTATAAAAAACAATTTGATCAATTCAACTATATGCATTGTTTTTTTCTGAGAATCTCCGATTACAAGTGTCTAATATATATTCTTCAAATCGATATTAATAGTTTTTTTTGTTTGATTATGTTTGTCTTTCTGTTATCGATGTTGTCACTATAGCAGCGAAGTAATCTACTTAGTAAATCACTTGCATAAAAAAAGAACTTTTTGTGTTATGTATTTTTCTAACTCGATAGAAATTAGTTCAAAGAAAGTTAGGATCATTTGGTTAATTGAAAAAAATTTTGTTTGTCACAAAAAGGATGCAGAAAGATGAAGATAATTGAGATGGTATATAAGCTCATTTCTCGAAATTATAATTTCCTTCATATACGTTATAACTGTGAATCCCAAACATATCTTTCTGTCATCCATTGAAACTTCTACACAATATTAAACTTCGTAACAAATCTGAGCAGATTTTATTATCATTATATTTTTGCTACAAAAATTCTTTTGCTGCTTGTTGAGTAACTTCAGAAAAAAGCAACCAATGACTTATATTTTGTGTGATATTGGTCCTGCATAATCATACGCATACATCTAGAAAACAAACAATTTTTTTAGTGCAAGAAAATGGCTGTTTTACAGTTTAACAAACAAATATAGTAGAATAAATCACCACAAAAACAAACCAATACAAAGGTATACACACAAGAAATACACATCACAGATTTTCCTCTAATAGGTTTAATAATTTGATTTTGATATTTAGAATTTTTTATTTCTCGTTGGTAAAATTGAATCTTGTACTGAGCGCATAAATGACAAAAGTCCAAAGTTTTTGGCCCGTTTCTTAAAATAATTTGTAACAAGGTCACCACCATTATTAAGCATTGTATCATCACTATAACGATCTCGTTGTGGTTCAGAATATTGTGGCAATACATAATCATTAGCTGATAATGATAATACAAAACAAAATGGTATCATCCAAACAAATATTGTAAAATAGGCAAGAATTTCAGGAAATGGATAATAATTGTTATTAAAAAATGAAAATGCACAATAATGATGTATAATTAATAGAACCATAGAAAAAAGAAATGTTGGGGACAGAAAACCAATAACTGGAAAATTTGCCAAGATAAAAAAATAGATTATATTTGATAGAAATCCAATTGAACAAAGTGTCAATGTAAATTGTGTTTCAAGTACAGCCAAAAGAATATTAAGACATGTTACAATAATAAGTATGAAACGAACAATACGTTTAGCAACACTTGTATATTCTTCAATAAGTTCTGCAACATAGTACATACCAGCTGCAACTGATATAGTTAAACAAATAGCAATAATAATAAATGCTAGCCATGATATAGCATACATAAACCACATGATTTACGCTTTTTTGTTCTTTGTATCAGTAGATGAATAGTTGAAAATCTAGAAAACAATTGACGTGGCGATGTAAACTGAACAACTTCTTTCGATGACTCGATTGACAATGAAACGTCGTTTATCTTATTAACTAACCAATCATATTGAAAGATGAATAGATGACACTAGCATCAAGACAACAATGAGGTTAAATTATTATGGTTACGCTTCAATTATCTAGATATTTATTTTTCAATATCGTCTCTTTCATGACCATTGGTAAGGACAAATCTATAAATGGAGAAATAATGTAATTGAATAAGCATAATTAGCAAGAAGAAAAATAATGTTACTTATTCTTCGATTTATGTAATTAAAAATATTGGTGAGCTGTTAACTTGAACGATACAGTCGTATCATAGTAAGATTACCGCACATATACGATCGTATATAGTGAAAGCACGGATAATTGTATTCATCAACTTGGAGTGTTTAAAAATGTATATTGTTGTATAACAGTATTCAAGATTTTTAATCAAAACATTCCCTTCGTCAAATCATCAGTCTGATTTAACAAAATGAAAAAGTTCATCATAAAAAATCTTTGTTACTTTTGTAACATTAATTTTTCGTTGTTTATCCCTAACAAACTTTCTTATTCCATTGTCACAGAGTTACTAAAATTTTGAACATGATAAAGATTAACCATCAGCGACCTACCTCGTAGATGTATTTAACTCACGAAAATTTTGAATTGCAATTGAAATGCTTCATTTTTACTAGGTTAAAAAACATACATATTTCCGATTTGCAAGAATATTTTCAAACAACTAAGAAGTTTTTTTTGTTTGATTAGCTTGAGAAACGTGAGTACTTGTTACAGTAGAATATATTTCATTGCTTACAGAGAGTTCTAACATGCGGAGCAAAAGTCTTTGGACAAGTGTCAAACTCCGTTAGACCACAGTGCTAATTTGTAAACTAATCAATTTTTTTTTGTTGGAAAGAAGAAAGTCTGAACTAAAAATTTTGTATCGAACTTGTGATTTCCAGAACGAATCTACGAAACAGAAGAAGTCAAAAACAAAACACTTCTAAAAACGTTCGTGCAACTCCACCTTCGCGCAATATTATTTTCTATTTTCTGTTCATTTTTTTAATATCAGAAGCAAATTAAAAATGTACGTTTAATAATGATTTCTGTAGCATAAAAAAAGCTCTTTCCAGTGGTATATCGGAAGTTAAATTCACTCTTGTTTTTTTTTTGAAAAATATGCCTATTCTTAGATGACACTGCATCATTTGGTCTTTCTTACTACCTAACCATTTTACAGCAATGAAAAACTTTATTGAATTCTTGTTTTTTTCTGCTAAGTTTCTAGGATCTGACGTATTTCGAACGAACAATACTCAAAGAATTTAGATCATACATAATTTCTGAAGATTGTGATTGATTTCATTCCAAATCGATAGTTCTTAAAAAAGACTATTTTACAAGAATTTCAATTTCTTAATTGTTTTTTATTAAAGAGTCAAGAACGAATCTTAAAAAATGTACCAAAGTTGATATCAATCGAACTATTAATGTGCTACATATTGGTGTGTTTATTTGTGATAGGAGTGTTTGGTTTTTGACTTCTGTTAAGTAGGGTTCGCTGAGGAAAAATAAATCTGGCAAAAAATTTGATTGATCTAGAAGTTGGCAATATGATCTAAAATAGTTTGATATTTGTCAAAAGACTTTTGAATCGCATGTTATGTTCACTGAATTTGTTTAAAGAATATACATGCTCATAAAAAAAAATTCAGATGTGTCAAATATCAAGCGTATCATTAATGAATATGGGTTCAGTTCACATCGGATAAAATGACCGTACAATATACTGCATTGTGTAAACCTGATCATTTAGATAATCAAATCTATATAATATAGACGCTAAATTCTTCTAATGAAAATTTTTATTAGAAAAATCAGTTCATACGTACAGAAAAAAAAATCAAACTGTCTTATGAATGAGATTATATAAACCTGATGGTATCCATTCACTAGTTTCCTGTGCAAAAATAACATTTTTATCAATATAAATATTGATATTTCCAAATTTATAAATTTGTTTTCCTTGAAATGTTCAATTTGGTATTGGTAGAAATACATTATCATGTTTAATAGCTTCCTTTTCAACAAGATCCTGAAATGATGAAATAATACGTGATGATGATACTGCAACACCGTGATTATTAACTGCCTAAAATAAAAGATAAACATAATAAACTAAAGTTAATTGACAAAATCTTACTTCATAGTTAATATTTACATATGGTTCAGATGGAGATATTTGTTGAACATTAAATGTTCCTGATATTCTTCGATCAATCATCATTAAAGCTTCTATTAATTTTTCTTGTATTTTTGTATGATTAATAATTGCTTGTGGAATTAATGAATGTCAACCACTATACCATTGTTGAATTTCTTGATTATTTGGATTATTATTTAACCAAATATGAAGTACCTAAAAACAAAAATATTTGCAAAATAGATTTTCATCTAACAAAGGAACATTTCGAAGTGATCCACTTCATTTACCTTCGTATTTTGTTCATATATAGGCGATCATCAGAGTAGTGCAACTTTCAAAGGTTTTTCTATTCATGCTTAGATTCGGTCAAGATTGAATATTTACAATGAAATTCTCCTGCATTACAGAGAGGATAAGCACGCTTAAAACGAATCCACACTTTTCCTGAGATTCAACAAAAAGAAAAAAAAAATGTTAATTCCTATATATTTTTCAAAAACATGTTCTGAAAGGAATATTTTTTCATCATTCGATAGGAAATTTTCTTTTCTTTTTGAAACACTATATTATTCATATTTATCATATGTTCGTAAATAAAGAGACAAAAGAAAAAATACATTTTTCAAAAACATATTCCAACATATTAGTTAATCAAAATCAACTATCTTTCTACACTAATTTTAGGACGATTTCATTTAAAAATCGCAAATTTATTATGCAAGTATTTCTCTTTTCTTGTCTCCTTTTTTATTTACGAATGCATTAAAAATATAAATCTTACAATGTTTGCAAGAGAATCCTTTCAAAACGTGTTTATCAAAGAGATATAAGGGTTCAAATGTTGTGCTGTACTTTATAGAAAAAGTGCGAACTCCTCTCTAAGTGCTTTTCTTTGTTTATTAACATCAAATACAAATACGTTATACATGATTCGAAAGAAAAAAATTCTATCTTCTGGTAAAATAAGTTTTCTTTCAATACCGTTCTATTGAAGATGTATAGTAGTAGTTGACATTCATTCCAATGCTACTACGCCAGAGGTTATATTAAAAGCTATAGCTCAAACATTTCAAGACTAAAGTCTCCACTGCTTCTCATTCGGTTTATATATATATATTGAGAAACTCATATTCTAAAATATTATAGTTAGGAGTAGATCTTGGTGACCTTAGTACACGCTCAGGAGGATTTATCCCCATGGCTTACTTATGATGAGTTATGACGATTTAAATAAATTTTTTTCTAAGAGTAAAACATTTCTTAAAAACCCAAAGCAAGGATTTTCAACGAAAGCGATCATGTCTTTCTCAACATATACAATATCCAAAGAAGCAGTGATTTTCAACGGAAGGACACAATAACGATGTCTACTTCCAAATCGAATATCTCGAGAAAGACAGATTCATTTTGGTTGACATTTTTACGACTCTCTAATAATTAGCAAATGTGCCCAAGCTCCTCTTTGATTTGAATTTTTCGAAAATGCATTGCTTTCATTTCAATAGCCGTAACTATTCATAGTAAGCCATGGATGTGAATTTCTTTCAACTTGTTTTAGTCTCATTGAGAGAGATCTACTCGTAACCGTAATATAAAACCAAACGGCATCCAATAGCTGGGTGTATTCACTTGTAAGCAATGCAATATTAAAAACAATGAAAGCTAATGCATGATGTACTCTAATCGAGACTTTCAAATGAACAAAGTTGTCTATAGAAAACCTAAAAATTAATTTTTTTTAAGATCTATACTTTTTTACAAGGGACCTACTAAAAAATTGTTATCTTAACGAAATCAAAGTATTAGTAGGAAATCTTTGAACGTTACGCTACTCTAATGATCTTCCACATATTAGCAAAACATAGGGATAAATCGGGCAGTAATAGTCTTTAATAAGAAAAACAAAATTAAATAAACATACTTGAAGCCATTTTGGAGAAAAGCATTTTTCTAATATTGTTATCATACTTGATAATGGCACAATATCATACCAAGCCATAAACCAACGCCATGGATCTAAAAAAAAATGGAAATTCAATAAAACAATTCTTAAAAAAACATTATTATTTTTTATTACCTAACATTTGTTATCGAGGATCAATAATAAAGTTTTGCATTGTGGAAACTAATTTTGGTACAATATGTTTATTCATGAATGCATTCCATGTTGCTTCTTTAAAAACTTTTTGTCATGGGAGAAGAATAGCTTTAGCTGATGAGTCTGATGGTTGCCAATTTTGTAAAGCATGACCTAATTTCGTACGAATTAGTTGATATAGTAGTTCAAGACGATCTTTCATTAATGGTAACCATGAATGAAGCCATGAATGAATAGGTATAGGATCTGTTAATGAATTTCATGCAACAACTTCACGATAAAGTATTGGATAAATAAGTTGATCAAAAATGTTATTAGTAATCCATTGTGGTAAACACGGTGTCCATCGTTCCATAAAATCAAGTAAATAATCAGGTTGATGTGGATTTCATTCATTGGAACAATAACAAAAATTTTCTTTTTTTTATGAGTTCAATCAAAAAAATTACTTACAGAACAGATTTTCGTAGAAATGGCATCCAAACATTCCATTTAATTCGATGACATGGATTCATATTTTCTTTTAATTCAGTTGAATTATCTAATGTTAAATCAATAGTATCGTGTTCAAGTATTCGTTTCCATTTAGAAAATAAATCGATTACATTATGATCATCGTTGTCAATGATTCAATTTGAAGAAAAATATTGTTTTAAATAATTATATAAAACTGGAACAGCTAGATCCCATAAACGATATTTTTATATTGGCTAATTTACGCTGACTGATATTAAAATGATTATTAACAGATTTTTCAGTTATTTTAATATTTGATTAGAAAGTTTTACTAAATGATCTCTCTTTAGTAGAAATTTGTATTATCTGTATTTCAGATATTCATTCGATGTGTTACAAATTGTTCTTCATGGAATCGATCCGCTGATTAAAGAATAACTGGTCCAGCATGGCGTTATTAAAGAGCATGCAGATTCGTTTTGACGGTGCTTCTCTTTTCTGTTGTGTTATTTCGTTTATGAACTTGTGATAAAAAGAAGTTATATACGCTTTGAAAGAGAAAAAATCTCTATCTTCTAGTACAAACAGTTTTTTTTCAGCATTGTTCTTGCGAAGAGAAATATTGGAGGAGATTTATACTGTTACTGGTGCATCACATTTTACTTAAAGATCTTGTCTTTCGTTGTAATTTTTCATATGAATTTTAAACTATCTCATATTGCATTGAACGAGCCAAAAATAATAAAATTAAAAAGACTGTCATTATTTTTAAAAACAAGACTCGCTCAAAAAATTGGAGGTGAAGGGTGATGTAATTATACAAAGAAATCTTCTAGAATTTGCATAAGATGTTCAAAATCTTCTGTCAATACCATTCATGCATCAATCAATAATTGTAAATAAGTTTGAAACAACATTAAAGCATTTACATCATAAATTTCTTTATGTTTTTCATCATTATGATTCTTTTTCTTTCATGTTTATTATTGAATAGTATTCGAAAGAAGTACTTAGTTATGGATATTCTTAAATTTTGAATCCTTCGATGGCGTTTATAATATCGAAATAAATAAAGATTGCTGACAACCTTGATTAATCAGAAGCGAAAATAGAAACGAAGAGTGTTTGAAGTACAGTTTGTTTTTTTAGTATGCATATATTTTCGGATCGTGGCCAAATCATACATAAAAAAAGTGATTGAAAGAAAAAACAAAAATAAGTAACGCAAAATATTGTTGCGTTTCTCTCACAGGTAGATCAAGGATTTTGCGTCGATGAAATAAGTCAAAATATTCAGTATATAGTGTACATAATATTAGTGAATGATGCGCTGATGCATAAATTGTTTTTTGTTTAAGCTAGATCGTATTAAACAGTAAATTGAATCATTAGTTAGAATTATCATACAGTATATATAATCTAATTAGGTCCGTATGCTGAAAAGTAGAAAAAAAATCTATGAGAATTTAAATTATATGGAAGAGAAAAAAGAAAAATATATGTCATCAATGGTAATATTCATAAAAAGAAAACATTAATCACGATCTAGAACAAGTCAATCTATTGTCAATTGTTTGAATAAAAAAGAGAACTATACAATTGAACAAGCTAGTTTACTGGATAAATGTAGTATTGTCAAAGTCTCGAACAAATTAGTTCATTCTTACTTTTGAGATATTTTTAATTTTCTAACGACAGTAAAAAGCTCATTCAAAATCGACTCAATTTCTGGTCATTTATTAATCATGGATTATAATGGTATATCTCAATGTGCATTACCAGTTATCATTTATTTTCATCTAGTATTTATAGGATGTTCTTTTTGATCTTGCATCTAAAGTCTACTTAGTAATACATATTTAGACAATCCACGTTTATTAGTATTTTATCATCGATATGTAGAATTAAACGATACGATCAATAGTAAAATATAAAAAGAAATGGTGCAACAGCTAATCTATTGATCATGTTTGTAAAACTAGACTTGTTTCATATTTTGTTAAGTGAGCACTTATTGATATGATGGAATATATTCTCCATAAATATTCAACATCTATTTTAGAATACAATCGTTATGAATTTGAACGAGCATTAAAAGCAAAAAGTTATTCAAAATTATCTTATTCAATAGATATTAAAACAACTTATCTATATATGAATGAGATACACAAATAACTTATACACCTAAAAATATTAATGAATTTGTTAATACTTAGGCAATTGAAGATTTTAATAGAGAAACATTTGCATTGTCTGAAATACCATGGGAAACATATGAAAGAGATATACCTAAAGGAATGTTATTCTATGATAAGAACAAAAGCCTTTGCAATCGAGTATGTGTTATGGACGTAAAGGAATGAAAACTTGGGTGAATATGTTTTGTTCCATCTGTGTAACTTTTCGCAATAAAAAAAAAGAAAGACCCCAATAATTTCTATGTTCATTCATAGTGTTCATCAAGTGGAGGAATAATTGGAATGATTATAAAATATGGTGAATCGTATGATATATCAAAAGCATTAACTATTCATAAAGAAGATGGAAATAATAAATTAGTTTTCTATCGTTCAACATTTTATTATGTATAGTTATCAAATTCAAACTAAAATTCATCTATTAAATGATGATATTATTGATAATGCTGATGAAGTTAGTGTTCTTCTTCTTAGTATTTCATTTGTACGTGTTTGATAGATTGGTAGTAGTCTACTTGAGATTCATTAAAGCAAGACAGTTACTACTAGGACAAAATGCAACAACATTACAACTAGTTATTATAGTGCTGTTTACAGCAGTTAATTATTGTATGAATCATTCAAATGAAGGTTTTTGTCTACCAGATGATATTGATATTCATCAGATACTTGACACGTGTATACCATATTTAGGAAATTGGACTAACATTGATGTGTGTAGGTGTTTTATTATGTTCGATCTTTGAACACACTCCTCTCTTTAATTTTCCTCTCTCCACCCTTACTTACAAACAACTGGTATTTATATCATATGTTAGAAGAAAGACGGAATTTACCAAAATAAATAACATAATAGAATTGGAAAAAATACATGACTTATTATATCGAAACAATCAAGAAAGCCAAGGTAAATACCAAGAAAACATATAGGAAAAATACCTGACAGAACGAAAGACAACGAAAATATGTGAAAAATACCTTTAATAATTTTTCCTTATGACACATCATATATACGTGCGATAATAGGGGTGAGTATCTATTTGGTTTTTGCCCTTTGAATGAAACAAATCAAAGTATCGAAGTATCCTAACAAAACGCCTAGTTTTTTGAAAGAACTAACAGGAATCAACAGAACGATTTTATTTTTGAAACAGAAATAAATATTCATTTCAAATAGTGTATAATATACGTGAAAAAATGTTTCAGCTCTATCGAACGTACTAGACCGGAGAAATGAAGGCGTTTCTACATTTTTTTCTTTCGTGAAAACTTTGCCTTGGAAAAATGCGAAACAATGTATAGTTTTCATCAATTTGATTTGTTTTCGAATCATAAAACACTGCTAAAACTTTAATTGGATTTACTGTTGAATCAAGTGTTAGTTATTTTCTTTGTTCAATGTTTACATTTTATTGCATACAAATATTGATTGATTCTTTTACTTCGATAATACAGATGTATCTTAAATAATTAAGTTAGATGTTTACTTGGTCTAGCAAATTTAAGCTTTCACTAAAACAAGTAGGAAAATTTTCGCCCGTGATCTGTGTGATTCGAATGGATCAAGTAATCGATAGCTTATTACAGAAAGAGTGTCAAAATTTATGATAAAATTTTGAACTGTCGATGTTAATTCGGTATTATTACCTTTAATTAATAACGTGATCATATAAAATTTCAAGAATCTCCATCCAATTTGATTGTCCACAAGTCCCATAATCAGAATATCAGAAGCCATAGCAGCAGCAGCAGCAGCAGATTTCCAGCTGCAATGGATATTTATGGTTTGAAGGTGAGGAAACTAAACTTACTGAAATCACACGCCAATACAAAAGATTTATTGATTTAATACAATATATGTCTGTCACAAATATACTAAGAAAAAAGAATTCTATTTTTGAGTAAGAATGTCTTAAATGACTTTGATGAACCAAAATAAAAAAGTATATTATGACCTCGCATATTACGACATATAAATTTGAATCAGAAAGAATAACAAAAAAATGAATGAACAATTCATGTAAAATAATATTAATAAGAATCCATAAAGAAATGCGAATAGACACTTAGGGAAATGAACAAAACTCTTATTAAATCATGATTGTGTTTAGTAAAAATGATTAAAAAAAAATAATCGTGTGTAATCGATCAGTTGTAAAGATACTTACATTTCCTACTGAAAAAGATGAAGCTTTTTGCTATTGAAAATTTAGAAAGGAAAAAGAAACATGACAATCAAACAGCTTGTCTCTATGTTAAGCAATTTACCTGACTTTTCTGTGATACACTCTTGAAAATCAGGGCTCATACGTGCCTCGGAGCCAACCAGGCA